ACATAGAGCGAGCGAGGGAAAGAGAGAGGGGGGGGGGAATGACAGAAAGAGAGAGAAAGAGAGAGAGATGACAAGGAAATGTTTACTTTAAAAAAAACGCAATTTGAGCATAACATCTGTAGTTGAAATCAGTAGTTTAGTTTGTGAAAGAAAACCAGCATAGAAAAGATGGAAGTAGATCTAATTTCTTTAGTAACTCCACCAACGTCAGCTGAAACGTACGACTATAATGCGGTCAAAAATTCGTGACGCAATTTATCCTCAAATATATATCTTTAACGGGTGATTCAATGACTTCCATACTTTGCACAGCTGTTTGTATCAATTTGTCTTAACTTAATCATATTTTCTACCACAATTGAGGCTAGATTTAAAAACTGCTTCTTAAATTTATATAAAATACTATAATACTACAAATCTCTTTCAGGCAGAAACTGGAATTGTTCACAGCACTTCCCGCTTCTCGCACACATTTTGCATGCGCATATAATATGGCCTACGTCACAGCTCGCCAATGACACTTTTTAATAGTAAAACTTGTTACAAGAAATAAAATTGATTTAACTGTGAGCACATTTTTGCACTAAAGGTTCTCAAAACATGTGTTCATTAAAGTTAGTGTTACGGTTAGAAAAATGACGGACTTGTTTGTAAAAGCGACATTGCCCCAGCTGTAAACCTTTTAAAATCTGCAGAAACGTTCCATTTTGATATTTTCTTGAATACAGCTAACGGGTGTTAAAAATAACAGTGATCTATTAAGACAAATGGATACAAGTCATTGTGCATAAGCTGGAGAGTCTATGTTCGATAAGAAATATTTGACGATAAGTTGCGCCACGAATTTTTCACCGCACTATAGACAACTTTGCTGGCCTCAATATATGGCGCCTACTGGCCTAAACTTCAAGTAAGGGCCATTGTGTTGGGTACCTATTATTTTGGAGAGCTTCCATATTACCATCCAGAAGTATGTTTCTGATTTGTGTGTGATCGTTCGGAATGAACCGTGACATTGCCTTTGGCTGACCGGACATTTTGTGTCCGCTGCTACATTTTTAAAGAGTTGTATTTTTGTTTTTGTATGGTTGTTTGTTCAATTTCCTGATTTTGGTGTGGAAATATTTTGTAAGTAACGTAAAATAGGCCACCATGGTACAAACGGTAATGCTTCAAGAAAAACAAAACAAGAAAAATGGGAAATGTTTGGTCAGTGATGATGGTGAAGAGATAAAACAGTCGCAATGCACAACTGAACGAGGGGCTCTCGTGGCCTTGAGGCTAGAGGTTAAGATGTTGGCCTCTCATCAAAAGTCTCGGGTTCGAATCCGGGTAGCGACCGAAAAATTTTCTTCTCTAAAATTGTCCCCTTTCACCTCCTCTAGCAATGTTCTGTCGTCTGCTTTCATCTCCTCTTTCTGCCCTGATCCCCTTTGCCCCCTCCTCTAAGGCTCCTGACTCTTTCTGCTGCTTTTCTACTGCTACTGTTTGGCTCCTTCTTAACACTTAGCCTTCTCGGACAAGGGCAAAAAATCTATGAGGGCCTGTGTGCAAGTTGCGCACGTTAAAGATCCCTTTGTGGGGTAAAATCGATAAGAGTAGGCTTCGGTGGGCATAATTCAAAATTTCCTACCAACTAAAAAAGTTTAATGTGTCCCGCTCGCTCATATGACCTTATGCAGTTGCGAGCGCCGTAAAACACTTACAAAAGATCAACAACAACTGAACGAAGCCTAGATCTATATGTACAGGACAGATCCACCTGTACTCACCACAAGGCCGTGCAGTCATAGTTCACGAGGAGCCACTTGTGTGGGCTCACACTGATTGACGTGCAGTGCTGTGGACACAACCACATTATGACTGTCTAAGTTAGTGTGGTAACATTTCGCCACTATAGTGATTACAAAGTCTGTGCTGCGAGGGAAAACAACACAAGACAGAGAGATAGAAACAGTAGGGAAAAGATAAAATAAATGGAGATAAATGGAGAGAGGGAGAAGGTAGGAAAAGAGAAAGTAAAGAGAAGGAGAGACAAAGGAAGAGGTGAGGGGGGAGGGGGGAGGGGGACTGGAAGAATATCATTGTAATTTCGGATGTTTCAGCTCTCTCTCTCTCTCTCTCTCTCTCTCTCTCTCTCTCTCTCTCTCTCTCTCTCTCTCCCTCTCTCTCTCTCTCTCTCTCTCTCTCTCTTGCCCTTTATAACTCCCAGTGGAGCACAGGCCATCAACAACATTACTCCAGCGAAGCCTGTCCTGAGCATCCTTTTCTATCTGTTTCCATGATGTCCCCACTTTTTCAATTTCCGCTTGTACCGCTCGCCTTCATGTCATCTTTGGTCTTCTCTTCTTACGCTTTCCTTGTGGGTTCCACGTTAAAGCCTGCCTGATGATGCTTGTCGGGGGTCTCCTCAGGGTGTGTCCAATCCATTTCCATTTATTCACCTGAATATCTTCCTTTACTGGCCTTTGGCTTGTTCTCTCCCACAGTTGAGCATTAGTGACTCGTGTTTTAGCTCTACGCATCAAATAATTCATCTATCGACACTATTTATTGATCATTAAGGTGGCGGGCTGTTGCGATCATTCCTTATGCGCTGACAAGGATCCAACGTTCCAGCAGAAGGAAAGACAGAGAGACTCGATAGAAAGGGGAGAGACTCGATAGAATAGAAAGGAGAGAGAGAAAGAGAGAGAGAGAGAGAGAGAGAGAGAGAGAGAGAGAGAGAGAGAGAGAGAGAGAGAGAGAGAAAGAGAGAGTGATAGAGGGGGGATCAAAAGAGAGAGGGGATGAAATACAGAGAGACAGAAAAAAATGAAAGAAGACATAGGGGTGGTGGTGGGGAGGGTGATAGAAAGAGAAGGGGTAGGCGAGAGAGAATAAGACTGACAAACCAAATTGGTCCCTCTCGACTGAGTTCGGGGATCCTGCGTCGGAATCTCCGCAACTGCATGTTTACATAAGACTCGAAAGGAATGCCTGGGATAAATGGTTAGGGAGTAGAAAGTGACTACTGTATATTATTAAGACTGCAACTATAACCTGGTTGTCAAAATGCTTCCGACAACCCCCCTAAGAAATCCCCAACATATCTGCCACTGTACTGTCTACCTAATAATAAGGTCCTCTCTTCACTTGTCTTGGCCCGCCAGAATAGGCTAATATACTAACAAGGTCACCTTAGCAGAGACTGTGCCCACCATTTCGGAACTTCATGGTGACATTAAAGATGGTTCCAGTAGGGAACTGGATAGCGGGTGCCCACATCTCTCGTGACTCATCGGAGCAGAGGAAGATAGGACTAACGCTAACATGAAAAAAAAAACCTCAACTAACAGAAGCATGTACATAAACACCATCCCACATCATCATTCATCACCACCACCACGTCATTTCTAAAATCATCATTGCTCTAAGATCCTTCACATACATCTATAATTATGTTGAACATCTATAAGTAATAGTTACATGTTTTACAATTTTGTACGTAATGCACAATTGGACACTTTTATATGCACATTTTTCTACTAATCAGATGGCGTCAATATCATAGAAATGGGCAAGGGACCAAAAAAACAAACAATTGAAAACCCATTGAGTGACAATCACCAAGCTCCGTCCCTCACCTCCACGCCGTCCAGAAGATAGCGGAACTCGGGACAGATACAGGCACTCCCGGCGTACGCGGCGTCTACGTGCATCCAGACTCCGTACTTGTTGCCTGGGGAACACACGTCGCCATCCTGGATTATACCTACACATACAAACACGGCGACTGGCTGATCCACAATAAAAATGAAATGTTTTTATATATGCAGGCGCCGAGACAGATCACTAAATTTTGAAAAATGTTTTAATGCACGTGTTCTTACGCCCCCACTGATACAATTTAGATCATTTTAGAGATGTACTTCCGACCCTGCCTGTCAGGGCCAACCTGGGCTGAGAGAAATGCATTCCACCTGAAAATGTTCTCCTCACTCGGGAACCCAGCTCGGGTCTCTTGTCTGCAACAGCAAAAGGTCTAACCACTACACCACAGACACAGAAGCCGGTCTAACTTTTCTTTCTAACTGACTTATATGATTAATTAGAAAGATTATGATGCCCTTAATTCGTTTGCAAACAGCAGTAATGAGTGAAAACTATAAAGTGGAGTACTAATTGAAAGATAAGGGCATTTTTTGTAGTCAAATGGTTCTGCCCCATATGGTCCACGCAGAGAGCCGCACACGAGTACATAGATCTATTATTCTGTCCTTCTGACTTCACCAGTGTGTCCTCTGGGCCCCCATGTTGGCCTTGACAGACCTGAGCAGCCCGACTCTTACGTCGTCTAGATTGTGTTAACTGAGGAATCAGAAATTAATTTGCAAAAATCAACCGAGAGATGACGTTGTTTTGGTTACTGCTTGGTGTTTTAACAAAAAACTTTTTTTTCCCTTACATGCTTGCCTTTCAGAATATTCGATCTATATATATGCAGAACGGTTGCACTGATCAAGGGTAACTAGATCTTTGAGTTTGCCCTTCTAAACCTTTTCAGCCTTTAATGGAAAAATACAGTTTCAGATCTATGTTTGACTGTACAGTGATGCGTTTTGGATTCTTTTTAGGTAAAACTACTTTCATTTTTTAAATTCGTTTAATGATTTTTTTTTCATTTGATTATATTCTGAGGTTATTTAATTACCGTAAACTGGGGTAACCATGACACCCCGGGGTGACTAAGGTATGTAAATGGGAAAAATGTTCTGAAAATTCTAAGATTATGTTTTCGATATTACATCAAAAGTGATTTTAAGTAATTCTGCAATGCATGATCCAAACGTGTAAGGATCCAAAAGTGTAATTAATGTAGGGCGCATAGCATAAAAATAAAATTAATAGCTCAGTGCAAACATTTTTGTGGACATGAGGCATGTTTTAAGATTGCTACCGCCTGCATTTGAAATCAACCTCTATAAGATTCCTTCAAATGAGTACCTCCTCATCTATTGAGCTTGAAATGTTCAAAGATGGGTATTAGGCTCTTGGTTAGTCAGATGAGCCATATAAATTGTGTAATTGAAAGAAAATATATGGGCTAATGTTTTGACAGGGGTTGCCTTAGTCACACAATGTGACTGTCCTGTGCAAACCAACACTTTTTGTTTTGTTTTGTTTTATTTTGTTTCCTTTTGTTTTCTTCTTTCTTTTTAAAAATGTATTTATTTATTTTTGTTTATTTTATTTAAAATTAATTAATTAATTAATTAATTTATTTATTTATTTATTCACGTGAAAATTATTTAATTCTTTTATTCATTGTATTTATTTGTTAATGAATTTATTTATTTATTTATTTATTTATTTATTTATTTATTTATTTATTTATTTATTTATTTATTTATTTATTTATTTATTTACATGTGAGTGGGTGGATGGGGGACAGTAGCCTGTTCTGAGGAGTCTGAATTCTAGAGGTTCAGTAATCATACTTTAATTAATGAAAATATTGTGTATAGCCATACTCCCTGGACAGCCTGGAATTTCCTTTGCCGGCCAATGTATTAAGTGAAATATTTTAATTTTAAAGCAGACGTGAAGTTGGTTAGGTTATTAGTTGCCTATAGCCTACGTTCATTGTGATTTTCTATTTGTAACAGCATGGAACTAGTTATACAGGGGGCATACCAAAAGTGTTTTTTTACCTGACCATGAAGGAATAAAGGTAGAAAGCTGAACTTTAGAGTGGAAGCCAAAAATTATCTTCCACAAATCCCTGTAAATTTTGGGGAATTTTGGATTACTGATTTCACCACCAGCGCACTTTAAGTGAATGGGGGTATGTTGTTTCAACATAAAAATGGAGAAAATTGAGCGCAGTGCAGTAACGAAGTATTTGTTCTTGCAAGTACTGCATGATATTTTTACGGAGATGCATGCCGTATATGGAACTGATTGCCCATCCTATCCTGTGATAAAATTTTGGTGTAAAAAAGTGATGATGCGTTCAAAGAAGCGGTATAGGGCTGTTTTTTCTGACATAGGTAGGGTCCTCTATTCTCAAGGTCTTTTCAAGGCCATACACAGATGGAAAACATGTATAAGTATAACTCTGGGAGACGACTACATAAAGAAAGACTAAGCTTAGTACCAAATTTCAGCTTTCTAACTTTTTCCTTCATGGTCAGGTGAAAAACTTTTGGTCGTACATAATGAGAATGTACACAACACCATAGGTTGTTTTACTCACAAACAGGACCAAGCTCCGCCAGGTTGTCAAATGCACAAGTGGATGTTGTACCGATCGTGGCACAAAACTGGAAAAGTTCAAATCGGAGACGGACGGTATGGAAAAAGGTGTGGGGGTGGGGGTGGGGGGGGATAGAATAGATAGATAAATCTTTTCACTTTGTGTTTTTTTTTCACATTTAATTTTGTTTGTGTAAATTAAAAATTATCTAAGGGATGTTTCTATTTTTGTTGAGATTGTTTGTTTGTTTGTTTTGTTGTTG